AAAAAAAAAAAACCCTCCACAAATACCTCTATCTCTTTCCTAGATATTTAAAAATTATTTTTCTAAGATCAGCTAATATTTTAAATGAAAAAATTGATGCAACAATTAATATAGAAGTTCGTCCAACAGAGAGAAAATATGGAAGAAACTATCATTTTTAAGCAAGGAAGAAGCTTTCATTTTTTAAACGGAGACAAGGACAAAATTGAGTAGATAATGAAGAAACAAACTTTATTTACAATAGAGTAAAAATAATTTTAGAACAAAACTGAATGTAATTTGATATATCATTTTAGATTTTTTTTAAAGTTAGACATCGTTTTAGATTCTATTACGTCGACTTTTCATTAAAAATAGTAATTAATATAACAAATATTTGTTTAAAGGATATTTTTTTTGAAACACTTATAAAAATGTAATATCGAAACTTTTAAAATAGTAGAGGTATTTTTGAAACAAATGTCAAAGTGTATTTTATAATTAATCTTGAATACATGAAAGATAAACCATAAAAGTATATCAAGTCTGGAATAGGAAACAAAATCAACCCGAATATAATTAAGTTTGAATTTTCATCCGACGTATTATACACTAGGATAAGGTTGTTGTCACCTGTCACCCACCAGAAAGGCGAACTGTGTAATTGAGGATAAAAATCTTCGCGCGACTTCGACTCAGCCATAAGCAAACCGAAACAATCCAACCATTCATATTCGTAAACAGTCCCCACCACTGCCCCGTCGTTGTTCTTGCAATAAAAATCTCCTTCACCACCGCCACGACTACACTTGACAAGATGTAGAGCACCACAAATGCGACACCCAGAAGCCCAGCAGCACGAAAACCACTACATTCGCTGGTTTCTTCAACAACATGGCTTGTGGAGTTGTTTCCATGACGATCATACCTCTAAATTCCAGTTCGAGTTACAGTTCCTGCTTATCATATGTTCGGAGGCGTCCTCTGACCCACAATCTTCCCTCTGAAAATTCCAGAGTTCACTGCTCAAAGTTTAGCCGAGATTTGTCTCTAACCACTGGTAAGATTATCAATTCCTCTGTCTCCTGATCTTGTTCTTCGCTTGTTCCATGAATTGGTAGCGAAAGTGTTTGAGGAATCTTTGTATTTTGACGAGTTCTGAGTCTCTTGAATGCGTAATTTCAAATGAAATTTGAATTTTCTATTGGGTATTTTTTTGTGGCTTCACCCAGTTATGAAGTTTGCATTTGTTTCAATGGCTTCTGTTAATTATTAGTTAACATGGCTTCGGATAACTTGTGGCAGAGAAACTTGGAAATGGTGATGCTATGACTGGAGGAGCGTTTGATTTTAGAAAAGCAACAACATCGCTTACTGAAAGGTCAATCTCTACATCAAAGAAGGTAACTCTTGTAAGGCATGGTCTTAGCACTTGGAACGAAGAGAGTAGAGTTCAGGTTTGTACTGTTCCTGCTCTAATCATTATCTTTTCGACATTGGGGCGTCTGGGGAATACTCGTTCATTTGCTTGATATCGATTGGCGTGTGCTGGTGTTCCTGCGTATTCCAATCCTTGGATGCATTAGGCTGTGTTTATGAACTAATTTAGTTTATTCTGGACATGCCTTGTCATGTGTGTTGGCACATGAGATAATTTCTATGAATGAAATACTATGATTGTGCTATTTGGCGAACTTGCTGGTTTATAAGTACAGGGAAAAGAGCCCTCGAGAGGCAGTCCACTTGGCAAGATTTTGGGGTTTCGGGTCATACTAGCTTAGAGGTCTCAAGTTTGAACTTTCTGATGAGTTTAATACCAAAAACCCTTTATGTCTCCCGAGTCCGGGCCTTGTGGCGAATGTGAGAAGTTGCCTTTTGCTCTAATAATACATGTCATTGAAAAGTTTCGCTTCTTAGAAACTTGTGTTGAGTTAAAACAACTAAGTTTCCATCTGTTTATCTTTGGTTTTCTAGTTTAGTTCATTCAACAAGAGAAACATGTGGAAATGTTAGCAACATGCTTGAAGATTTGGTGCTTGCTTTATAAAATTTATGCTCCATGTATATTTGATGGGTATAAAAATTATGTGGCTACTTGTTGAGATACACATTCTGAGATGACTGCAATGTATTTTAAAGAATACCTGCTTGAATGTAATTACTATTTACTAGTTTGGATTTGTGTGCAACTTCTCCCTAAATGGACTATAAACCGTGAAAATTTGTGATTTCTTTCTCTGGGAAGACCGTAAAGATAGCTGCAACTGTGAACTTAAAAGGGAGATATCCCATTCTTCTTCTTGCACCACTGGATTTTAATTTTACATTTAGCCTACTGTTGTTGAAAAAACATGCAGGGAAGCTCGGACTTATCTCTCTTAACACAAACTGGGGTGCAGCAAGCAGAAAAATGCAGAAGAGCCTTGGCAAACATAAATTTCGATAGATGTTTTGCAAGTCCGATATCACGTGCCAAGGTTGAAAGGATCCAAAGACATTATTATATATATAATTCTCTTTTCCATCGTAATCATGTATTATTTTTTCCATATGTCATTGAGTGCAGTCAACTGCTGAAGTACTATGGCAAGGAAGGGAAGAAGAACTGATCTTTCTTGATTCTCTGAAGGAAGCCCATCTGTTTTTTCTTGAAGGCATGAAAAATGGTCTGTCCCCTGCTCTTATGATTACCATTTTGAAATCTCATCAGTTTATACATTCACACAAGCTAAACACCACCATCCACTAATTTCATCTAAAAGCAATTTGGAGAATGCTCTTTTCCAGTCCCTAGGAGATGAATGTTTTCTTGCAATTGGCATGGTTCTTAGTCTTGAGAATTGAGACTTCATGTAGATCTTAAAATATTGCTTAGAATACGTCCTTTTGCACATTCTGTTTCGATCATAGAAATCATGATTAGAATTTGGAGGCAGTGGATGCTAAGAAGATTTATCCAAAGGAGTACACTACATGGCGAGAAGATCCTGCTAGATTTTGCGTAAATGGTGTCTACCCTCTTCGAAAAATTTGGAGTACAGCAAGAGAGGCTTGGAGGGAAATCTTGTTATCACCTGTGAGATACTTTCATTCAATCTAATTCCATCAATTAGAATTACAAGCTTGTGTGGTGTGGCTGCCTTTTAACAACTATGTTGATTGTCAGGGAGAGAACTTTTTGGTTGTCACTCACAAGTCTATATTACGGGCACTCGTCTGCACAGCCTTGGGGCTTGGCCCTGAGAGGTATGTGATGCCATTACTTAGGATTTCTTATAATAAGTTCCAAAATCTTGAACGTGTCTCTGTATCAATGGCATTTATGGTTCAGGTTCCGAGCAATCGAGATAAACAATGGCGGGATATCGGTGTTCAAGTTCAACGAAAGAGGAGAGGCAATGCTTCAATCTTTGAATATGACAGCACACATGTATAGCGATCACACCTATTTTTACTGAAACTAGGAAGTATGTAGAAATGAGAATCATAATATATTTTTTGTGAAGATGATTATTTACATGAAAATGAAATCTCGGGCTTGGTTTTATGAACGATATGGGGCTTCAATAAAAGGAATTGTGTTTGGAATTTGGATGGATGGCTCCAATTTGTCAAAACTTTACATGAAATTCCCTACAAGGGAGCGAGAAGATGAGTCTTTTTGGTTAAGTTTTGAAACTATGAGACGAGCGGAATAAGGCAGCGTCAAGAATGGCGGCCTTTTATATGAAAATCTATTTTTTAAAATTAAATATTCAAAAGCTTTTCATTTTATTTATCTTTTTAAATATTTATTATGAATTTTGTAAGTTAATAATGGTGAAATAATACATTCATTTATGTTTAGAAATAAATTGGAAACAAAAACAAAAAGGTAATAAATTTTATTTTCTTATTTTTAAAATTTCAATACAATTTTTTAAAATATTTCTTGAGAACGAAAAATGAAAAACAAAAATAGTTATTAAACGCAACAAGAAACGAATGCATTATCAAACAAAAGGAAAAGCTATGAAAATTATGCTTAAAGTAAAACAAAGACCCACCATTTAGATTTGAAATGCGTCAAAGAAATAACCTCGTGATAGAAAGGAATGACTTCGTTCTACATGCAAATTTGGAATATGAAGGAAATGGAACGATCGTTCATTCTAGTTCTAGATTTGGAATAGTTTAACGTGAGGACAAGATACGATGGACAAGATTGAAAGGTTTTAGCAACGACAAGAGGAGGAATAGGCGATCGACGAAAAGGAGTGGAGGTCGATGGAAAGAGATAATGCAGCAACAACACTCATTTAAAAACGTCTAATCACCTAGTTACGGGCCAACATCAATTTTCAATTTAACGGTCAAATAAGGATCATTTTAAATTATTTATCAAATTTTAGAAAGTAAAGTGTCCATTTTCAATTTTAGAGATTTAACAAACACTAGTTTTATAAACCAAAGTATATTTTACTAATAACTATCTATCCGTTTGCAAAGTAAATAAATACATCTTTGTATCATGACATGGATTTAAATAATTAGGTTGGTCACTTGGTTGGACCCATCAGATTCGTTGTCCAATAAACAATCATTTCGTCCATCACGAAACCCTACAATTTTATTTGAATTTATGGGGTTTCCCATTATTATTATAATTATCTTACTAAGAAATCGGAACAGTAAACAATTAATTTATAATTAATATACCATTTAGTACAATCTTGGAAATTAAAAAATGGAGATCAGATACCAATGCGATAACAAAAGACAATCACGCCACGTAATCTCCATGTAAGAATGTCTTTCTAAAAAATAAAAAAAGAGGAAAAGTTCTGTAAGTTTAAAAAAGATTTAACGGTTGAATTTTTTATGCCAAACGTTGTTAAATGGGGTGGGTCCAATCTCACTATAATATTAAATTTTGATTTACGCTCTTATACGTTTATGAATTCGACACGCATAGTCACAAAAATTGGATCAACATCAGGATAATAACATTTTAGAAATTGTTGGTTCATCAGTCGTTTTAATGAGGTCCATTGGGATCGACGAATCGATTAATCGGTTACGAACTATCAATTGATGCTCTCTTAAAACAGATACACTCATCTCTAATCTATTTACATGATGTTTTGTTGATATTTCTATCAATATCGATGTTAAAAATATGATGTCACGCATCTAAGCTAATTAAAGTAACTGCATGTAATAAGTGGTAAAAACACAGGATGACCATGCAAATTAGACTAAACCAGTTTAGGGCTAGGAAGAAAAACTACTAAGTTTTAGCTTTCCATCTGATGATGCACTTGGTCAAAAAAGAAAAAACTAAAACTAAAAAAATTCTAATGGGCACGTGGGCCGGATGCTTGCCTTTTTATCGCTTCTATCCATTTATAAAGCTACAATTTAATATTAATATCTAATTGGTTTAATTACTATTTTACTCGTAGTTATGGTAATTTCACCTTGTACACTTTAGTATCTATATTTTTATTTTAATATTTATACTTTCGAAATGTAAAATTTTATTCATGTATTTTAAAAAAGTAATCAATTTAATCTCTATTATAGGTTTAATTCGACAAACCAAGCTCGGACATTAAGCAAGTACCTGAAAACTCAGAAAGTCGAGATAGAAGAAGAGGACTCGACCAAAGAACCAGAAACAGAGGTCAACTGGTGGGCCGACTGGTCAACTCAACCAAGCCATGGCTGACAAGACCGACCAACCTTTTATTAGCTGGTCGACTCGACCAATCTTTTGTTTGCTGGTCGGCTCGACTTAGGTTTTTAATCGACCAACTTTGGTCCACTTAACTTGTCTTTGTAACCCACAAACTTTTATGAACAACTTGTCATATTAAAATTGTAATTGAAATAAACGAGATAAAAATGTTGAGAGTTTGAATTAGTAAAATACATGACAGTAAAATAAATAAAAATTTAAAAGTATAAAATAAAAATCCACCTTTAAAACATATATTCATTAATTTGGCAATAAAGTTCAGAGACCGTACGAAAAGTTATTGCTTCTGAAACTCCCAAAAACCAAAAAAAAAAAATAAAAATAAAGGAGAAAAAAGGTATTGTGCTATTAAGACTGTATGTGGGCCCCCCGCATAGCCAGGGACAATACAGAGCCGAGCCTCCACGCGCTCAGAACGCGCGTGCTGCGGACGACATTACTTTTGAAAGTGAGGGAATAGAATTAGAATATACGCCACACCGCGCTTTAAGCGACCCTGTCGTATAGCATTGGCTTTTTTCCATTCCAGGGATGACTGGGAAAGTGAGAGTAATTTATGAAAAACTAATTACTCCCATTTACTTTTAAAATCTTGCCGTGCTATAAAAAAATAAACGCAATATGACCCATTTATTATTACAACATAATTTTCCCAATTCTTGAAATATCTACTCCCCTCGAGGGAAAAAAAAAGACGGTTAGAAATATCTATTTTTAACCTTTTTTTTTATATATTTTTGTTAGTACAATAGATTAGAGATACTAAGGTTTGAAGTATCAAACCCAGAAAGGATATCTACTACTTATTTAACTTATATTTATTATAATAACAAATTATTTCTATATTTTTAAAGTAAATTGTATAATAATACATATACTTGAAAAGCAAAATATCTTAAATGAAAAGCAATATAATATCAAAGAGGAAATAATGAGAAAAAAATTAGAGTAGTGTAATAAATAGGAAATTAGGCAAAGAATATATATAGATAAAAAGGACGAAAATATAGATTTCTTTTAGTTCTATTCTTGCAGTTTCTTAGAAATATATATATTTTAATTTGGAGAATGGAATTATCATAATTTATAAGTTAAAGAAAGATAATAACCTTT